GCAGAGTGCCGTGGCATTACAGCTCACAGCAACCTCCAACTCCTGGGCTCAAGCGAGTCTCCTGCCTCCGCCTCCCAAGTAGCTGGGACCACAGGCGCCCGCCACAACGCCCGGCTATTTTTTGGTTGCAGCCGTCATTGTTGTTTGGCGGGTCCGGGCTGGGGATTCGAACCCGCCACCTTAGGTGTATGTGGCTGGCGCCTTAGCCGGCTGAGCTATAGGCGCCGAGCCCCAGCTATTTTTTTGTTGCAGTTTGTCCAGGGCCAGGTTTGAACCTACCACCCTCAATATATGGGGCCAGTGCCCGTACCCACAGAGCCACAGGCGCCACCTGAAATATCTTTTTTTTTTTTTTTTTTTTTTGAGGCAGAGTGTTACTCTGTTGCCCTGGGTAGAGTGCAGTTGTGTCATCATAACTCATAGCAACCTCAAATTTGGGCGCTTAAACTATCCTTCCCAGTTACTTGGAACTATAGGCATCTGCCACAATGGCCAGCCGGCCTCCCTTCCTCCTTTCCTTCCTTCCTTCCTTCCATCCTCTCTTCCTCTTTCTTCTTCTTCTCTTCTCTTCTCTCTTTTCTTTTTCTTTTCTTTCTCGTAGAGGTGGGGGTCTCTTGTTCAGGGTGGTCTTGAACTCCAGAGCTCAGTCAATCCACCCGCCTCTAAGAGTGCTAGAATTATAGGTGTCAGCCATGGCACCCAGCCACATCTTTCTTTTAGCTTCTATGGGTGGAGCATATAGTCTCAGAAGGTTAGCAGGGAGACAGGTAATCACTCTACCCACTCAGCCAAAGGGGCTAGTGACTCCTAATACTTGTAATGTTGCAAATGATTAACAGCAGCCATGTGCGGTTCTGAGCCAAGGTCTGGCCTGGGAACTTGCAGCATCCTTGGTAAGGAGAAGTAGCATTGTCCCCTTTTACAGTGAAGCAAAGAGACTGGGCTCAAAAGTGATGCAGCTTGGGCAGTGCCTGTAGCTCAGTTGGCAGGGCGCCGGCCATATACACTGAGGCTGGTGGGTTTGAATCCAGCCTGGACCAGCTAAACAACAATGACAACTACAAAAAAAAAAATAGCAGGGCATTGTGGTCCGTGCCTGTAGTCCCAGCTACTTGGGAGACTGAGGCAAGAGAATCGCTTAAGCCCAAGAGTTTGAGGTTGCTATGAGCTGTGACGCCACGGCACCAGAGTGACAGCTTGAAACTCAGTCTCAAGAAAAAGAAAAGGTGATTCAGCTTATCCAGGTGTCTGTCTGGCATGAGAGCCCAAGCTCAAGCTCTTTGTACTCAGCTGGCTATGCTGTGTATTTACGTGTTCATTCTTTCAGCAGTTGCATACTTACCTTGTGTTGGGAAAACGGGCTCAGTCCCTGTCCTGATCAGGCACATTCTGATCAGGGATTTGAAGGAACAGGGCACAAACTTTGTGACACCTGGGGCTGCTTACAGGGAGAGTAACCTGGCAGAGCAGTGTCTAGTGCAGAAGCAGGCATTGAGTGTGTCCCAGCATGGCTGACAAAAAGGGAGCGGCACTGGAGTGTGTGGGGACAAGGCCGGCCAGGCAGCCAGACCACAGGGGGCCTTGCAGTAGCACTGTCCCCAGTAGCATCTCCACAGCTCATGCCCTTGGATTTTCAGTGCTTTGAAGGCTTAATTAATGTAAGTGTCTGGATTATTTTAGCCTTAAAGCTAGAGCTCTATAGGAAGCTCAGCACCTGTATGTAGTTCAAAGGTTAGGGCACCAGCCACATATGCTGGGGCTGGCAGATTTGAACCTGGCCAGCCCTACTAAACAACAGCGACAACTACAATAAAAAATAGCTGAGCATTGTGGCAGGTGCCTGTAGTCCCAGCTACTTGGGAGGCTGAGGCAAGAGAATTGCTTAAGCCCAAGAGTTTGAGGTTGCTGTGAGCTATGATGCCACGGCACTGTACTGAGGGCGACATCATGAGACTCTATCTCAGAAAAAGAGCTGTGGCTCAAGTGGCTAAGGCGCCAGCCACATACACCTAAGGTGGCAGGTTTGAATCCAACCCAGGCCCGCCAAACAGCAACGATGGCTGCAACCGAAAAATAACTGGGCGTTGTGGCGGGTGCCTGTGGTCCCAGCTATTCAGGAGCCTGAGTCAGGAGACTCGTTTGAGTCCAGGAGTTGGAGGTTGCTGTGAGCTATGATGCCATAGCACTCTACCCAGGGGGACAGCTTGAGGCTCTGTCTCAAAAACAAAAAAAGAGCCCTACCGCAAAGCAGTGTAGACAGCAGTGCAGAGCTTAATTTAGCCTTTGGATTGGCACCTGTGGCTCAAGTGGCTAAGGCACCAGCCACATACACCTAAGGTAGTGGGTTCAAATCCAGCCCGGACCCACCAAAACAACAATGACGGCTGCAACCGAAAACTAGCCGGGTGTTGTGACAGGCACCTGTGGTCCCAGCTACTTGGGAGACTGAGGCAGGAGACTCTCTTGGGCCCAGGAGTTGGAGGTTGCTGTGAGCTGTGATGCCACAGCACTCTATCCAGGGCAACAGCTTGAGGCTCTTGTCTCGAGGAAGAAAAAAAAAAAAAGGCCGTGCCTGTGGCTCAAAGGAGTAGGGCGCTGACCCCATATGCCGGAGGTGGCAAGTTCAAACCCAGCCCTGGCCTAAATAAATAAAAATAATAAAAAAGAAACTCAAGATTTAAAAAAAAGAAAAACGGACATAGCCTTCCTTGTAGGGTAAAGTACCTGGAACAGTACCAGACCCATAACGGGTTAATACAAAACAAGTGGTATTTGCATGAGCATCATAGAAAACAGCAGTAGTGTCCGCATTGCCTTTGCCCGCACCTGGGGCATGATGAAACCCTTCTATACAGAAGAGAAGATGAAGGGCTTTGGAGCAGATGGCTCTCCATCTGTCTGTAAGCATATATATCACAATAGAGGACAGGGGTAACCAAATGGAGTGAGGCTTGGAGTGGGTAGGAGCTTGGTAGAGTAAGTCAAGCAAAAGGTGCCTCCTTAGGTGGAGCAGAGCTCCCTCAGCTTCAGCAGAGTTCACCTGGCTTCCTTCCCAGCTGCCCTAGAGCAGGCCCAGCCCTAGGCCCGTATCTTTGGTTAATGACAGTCACAGAAGATGTCACTGTGTATGCCAGACACTGTACTTGAGACTCTACACATATCATCACTTTGAGTTTGCACAGAAACCTATGAGGAGAGATGATAAAGTTCACATTTCAGAGATGAGGGCACTGGGGCTCAAAGTGGTTAAATGATTTGCCCAAAGTTACATCACAAATGAATAGCAGGCTGGGCTCAGTGGCTCATCCCTGTAAACCCAGCACTTTGAGAGGCCAAGATGGAAGGATCTTTTGAACCCAGGAGTGTGAGGCTGCAGTGGACTATGATCAAGCCACTGCACTCCAGCCTGGGCAGTAGCAAGACCTAATCAAAACAAATACAGGTAAATAAGTAAATAGCATAGCTTGGAATTGCCTGAAGTCTGTTTAGTCCCAAAATCTGGGTTACTCTTAGGAACCTAAAACAATAGCTTGAGGTACTTGGCAGCCATCAGAACTGAAGGTTGTGGAGATCTTCTGTGTGGCCAAGGTAGTCATGGCGAGAGGCCCAAAAGGACCCAGGGAGCCTTACCCTTGGCACAGGCTTGCTACTCAGTGGCAGTCGTTGGGGGCTGGCCTTGTTCTGTAGGGTTTTGCACACGTAGTAGGCATATCATCTGAACCACCTCATGGTAACTGCAGCAGGGGGTGGGAGGTATCATCTGGTTTTAAGGAAAGAGATGCTCGAGGATGTTAAAGGAGGCTCGGTGCCTGTGGCTCAAGTGGCTAAGGTGGCGGGTTCGAATCCAGCCGGGTCCTGCCAAAACAACAATGACAGCTACAACCAAAAAATAGCCAGGCGTAGTGGCAGGCGCCTATGGTCCCAGCTACTTGGGAGGCTGAGGCAGGAAACTCGCTTGAGCCCAGGAGTTAGAGGTTGCTGTGAGCTGTGATGCCACAGCACTCTACCCAGGGGGACAGCTTGAGGCTCTGTCTCAAAAAAAAAAAGATGTTAAAAGGGTTACATGCCATGAATGTCAAAGCCCATGGCCCAACCAGCCCTGGCCAAGTTCTCATTCTTTCCTGAGTCCAGGTGCCTCTGACTCAGCCGCATCTTTGGTGGAGTTAGGAGGAATCAGAGGCCGGTCAAGATGTGCAGCTGAGGTTCTCAGTCTTTCTGTGAATGAATTACTAGCTAAGTTTTCAGAAAACACCCAGACCAGTCAGTCTCAGGGGATTTGAGGCTGCTCTTAAAGCTTCCCAGACGATGAGAACATAAGACCAAGGCTGAAAACAACTGGACGTATTAAATTTATCTAGTTGCAGCGGTGCCCATAGCTCAGTGTGTCAGTGCTGGCCACATATACCCAGGCTGACAGGTTCAAACCCAGCAACAAGGACAAGTGCAACAACAACAACAAAAAATAGCCAGGCCTTGTGGCAGGCACCTGTAGTCCCAGCTATTTGAGAGGCTAATGCAAGAGAATCGCTTAAGCCAAAGAGTTTCAGGTTGTTGTGAGCTGTGATACACAGCACTCTACTGAGGGTGACATAGTGAAACTCTGTCGCAATAAATAAATTATTTATTTATTTATCTGGCTGCTTCTCCTTCCAGCTTACATTTGCTTCCCATTCTGTGGGCCATTTGCCTAATCGAACCACTGGCTTCATTTCTTTTCCCTGTTCCTCAGATATAATAAATACATAGTTTAGTGTGCTTTTGAGTCAAGAAAGAATGGACAAAGATGTCACCCTGTTGTTTTCTCCATTGCTCTTCCTCCTGTGTGAGACTCCTTGTGCACTGATACCTAATCATGCCTATGGTGCATCATCTGTCTCCCTCCATACCGCATTCCTTCTGGAGAGCACGGACCTTGTGCTCTCTCTATCCTGTGTTCCCAGGGCCTGCTGCATCATAGGTGTGATTGGTCCACTGAATGTTTCCTGGTAGAATAACAGGAATGTGTGGTTACACTGCCCTATTTTTTAAGTAACAATTTTGAGAATTTTTTTTATTGGCACAGCATTTTTCTTATACACATCTGACTGGCTGGGCTCTTAGTGACTACTTAAAATCTCCAAAGGGTTGGAAGACCTAACATCTAATTTTTCAACAAAAAATGAAACAAGAGTATATGTTTCATAACTGTGTCTTAATGGAATTTCCTCCTTTCCCTCTTTTCCCTTCTCCATTCAAAATGATTAAGAATGTTATACAAATGCCAAGGGAGAGAATGGTATAGAAGATTATCCAGATGTTAAAGAAATACCCAGTAATGAAGAACGTCTGTTAGATTTTAATAGGGTAAGTGGACTGTCCTCCTCATTGTTAACTTGAAAATGGCCACAACCCCACTTGTGACTCTAGTCTGAAAGCTAGAGTCGTGTGAATCCTCCCCCCAACCAACACACACACACACAGCAATCGCAAGGTCTGTAGCCGTGGCCTTTCTTGCTCCCTGCCCTTGGTTTGGGACTGCGTCATCTCCCTCCTGAACCATTTATTGTCAGGGTTTTCTAAAGAATCCTGGCTCTTCCTCCAGTCTTTCCCTCCCACTGCTGCCAGCTGGGGTTTCTAAGTGCAAAGCTGATCCTGTCACTGCCTTTTAAATCCTTGGGTGGGCACCCTTTTCATCTTTCAAAGAAGTGCATGTAGGGAGCCCTTTCAGTGCACTTTCTCCTACCCGTCCTGGCCTCTGCAGAGCAGTTCCACCCCGTTTGTGTCCTTGCTGCACCCTCTGTACAACCTGCCTTGTTGCAGAGCATTTGGTTATCTTAGATCTCTTCATTTCTGCCTCCCTAGCAAGCCCTGAGCACCTTGAAGGCCGGTGCAGGGCCTATGCCTGTTTAGGCTGGTCTAGACCTTCCCCAGTTAGCCAGGCTGGCAGGTGAAGGAATCTAGGAAAACTCCTTTTTTTCCTCAGTGTCAATGGTCAGTGTCAGTTTGAGTCCTTGTAGTTGTCGTCTTCCTGAGCACCATGTAGCATCACTGTCCAGGGCCTGCTGTCGGCCTGTCAGACTTCACAGGACAGGCAGCCGTTTGAGGCCCACCACACACCAGTTCTGCCCAATGCATGGTTCCCATCCCCCCAGCATCTAACCCTGAATGGAGAATGGGCATTAGTCCTCTGTCACCTTCCATGCACAGCCAACCTGCCAATCCTGACTATTCCACCTCTCAGCCACTCCAGCCTTCCCACTCCTCGCATATGCACCACTGTCCCCTCCTGAATGGCTGCTGTGGTCTCTCCACTGTCCATCTCCCTTCACTTGTTCTTTCTCCAGTCTTCTCTCCATACAGCAGACTAAAAGGTCTCACAAGGGAGATCCTTTTTAGTCCTCACAATGACCCTATTGGGTAGGAGCTGCTGTCATTCCATTTTGCAGAGCAGAAAAAACTAAGGCATATAAACATTAAGAACCATGTATCTAAAGTCACAGAGCCATGTGTAAAGTGGACCCCAGGGTCAGCACTGCTAACCATGATGTCCCTGTGCCCTTGCTTGTGGGACAGGCCCACCTTCCCAGCCATGCCTGAGGTCCTGTATGTTTTGCCCCATCTGGCACTACTCTCCCTTACTCTGGCTTTCCTGTGATCCTGCCTTAGATTCTCAATCAAGGACAGTGCTGCCATTTGGATATGGGGTGGGGGGTGTTGCCAGTTAGCAATGGAACATTGTTAGTAGCTGTGACTTCAAAGGATTTCCATTTGCATCTAGTGTCCTGGTGGCCAGAGATGCTACCCTTCTGTGGGGAGACAGGCCTACACAACAAAAGCTGGGCCCCTCTGCCCAGAGCTGCCTTCCAGCACTCCCATCCGAAGCCCTGCCTGTGTCTTGGGGGTGAGCCGCAGTCTTACTCGTTGGTTCACTTTTTTGTCTTCTCACTGCCATGTCTGCCCCATAAGTGGGTTCCCAGTGCCCAATACAGTTCCTAATATGTAACAGTCATTCAAAGACTTACTGCAAAGTTAAGGAATTCTTTGTATAGCGAACCTTAATGTAGCCAACATCACGTCCAGGTGACCAATGTAGAATTAGGATTTGGGGTCCTTCATGGATAGGGAGATGCTGTTTTGCTCTGAAACTCTCCACAGGAAAACAATTTCATTTCTGTACATAAAGAAAGAGTAGGGCAGTGCCTGTGGCTCAAGGAGTAGGGCCCCAGTCCCATATACCGGGGGTGATGGGTTCAAGCCCGGCCCCGGCCAAAACCAGAAAAAAAAAAAAAAGAAAGAGTATCTTAGCCCTTTTGGAAAATAATGTGTCTTTTTGATGTTGAAAATTGTTTCAATCTTAGGTGTCTTCTGTTTATGAAGCAAGATGTACAGGAGAGAGAAATTCTGGAGCAAAATCAAATGGCTTTCGCAGAAAGATGTGTTCCAGCGCCAGCTCTGGCTCAGAGGATACGGGCTCAGAAGGTGGAGGCGAATGGGTGGATCCTGGTGAAGAGGAGCTCTTTTCTCGAACTCATCTCTAAACCTGCAAAGTAGTACAAATTATTTTTTAAAAGTGATATGTGATGGAAAATTACTCTTTTGTGAGCCTGTTAATCTAAAACAACAACTTAGGTTTCTTCAATTAACTGATTCAGATCAGTAATTATCTTTCTCCTCTTGCTTATTTTAGAGTTGAGGACAGCTATCCTGTTGAAGATTTTTTTTTTTCCCCAGCTGTTAAATTCTTGGCTACTTGAAATAGACTAGATTGTGTTGTCAAACTAAGAATGGGTGTGCATGTGCTTGTCTTAGAAGTTTCACTGCTTTTTGCATCTTAACCGCAGTTAATTTCCCTTCTAACTGCAGTTATATCACTATTATCTTATTAGCATTGCAGTGTCAACAACCACTTCTGCTATTCAGAGACTTTAGCTTTGGAACATTTAGGCTTTGTTCTCTAAGAACTGGGATATAAATCCTTACCCTGCGTGGCTCAGTGCCTTTTGAAGGCCAGAGGGAAGCATGGGTGACTCATCTGCAGTCTTCATTCAGTAAAATCTCATGTACATTTGAAGTGGGAACCACAAGGCTGTGCTTTTAGAGACTTACAAAATACTGTGTTTTATATCTTAGGATTTTTCCCCCTAAAGTATCATGGAAGATACTATGGTTTGTGACTTTCTTGCTAACTGAAGAAGCCAAGGATTTGGAGTATGGGGCAGTATGTGAGGCCGAGCGGGGTGCACACCCCTCCCCACAACCTATGCTTATACTGCAATTGCATTTACACCAAAACATCATTCAGGGTTTTTTGTGGTAAGTTTTACAATGCATGATAAGGAGCATAATTGCAAATTACTATTTTATGGTGACCTACATTGAGTTGAACACCCCAAAACTTGAAATTGTAAACATTTGGCATTCAATAAAGGCCACCTCATCACCCAAAGAAATCTTTGGCTGCTGCAGCTAGCTGCTCTCGTGGCTGTGATGTAGTGTAGCTTATATCTCATTTTGTGTTTGAGAGAATGTTCTGGGCACGTTCTGTGTGTGGTGGGGTGGGGCGGGTAGAGTAATGGCTTTCCCACATGCCTGTGTGATTGCTGTGCCGACTGTCCAGTGTCACTTGGTGAGCCCAGGGGTCGGGACACCTGGACACACTGTGTCTGTGAGTGCTGATCACCTCCGCCAGCTGTCACAGTGTGATGCAGCAGGTTGAGGCGAGAAGGAGCAAGATTTGCAAAACCTAAACATTTTAAATTGTTTTTCTTTTTTAACCCACTCATTTTAAAAAAAAAAAAAAAAAACCCACCTAATCTGTGAAATCAATTTAGCATGTCTGGAACACCACAGATAGCAAAAAAATCTGACAAGGACTGGACAGCTTTATTACTGATACTGGCAGGCAGGAAACACGATTAGCTGGGAGCCGAACTACCTGTGCAATCTGAGATCTGCTTTGAACATTTGGGTTTTATTGCCTTTTTCTTAATTGATAACAGAAAATACCATCAAAGGCCATGGAATCTTTGTGGTCCTGTATGTCCTCACTGTGAGAAGCCTGTCCCGCCCGTTGGGTTTGAGCTCACCACAGGTTAGGGTTTATTTTTATACAGCACATGTTTTGACACTTTAAAGTGGGTTTGTCTCTGTGTGTATGTGTGTGTGTGTGTGTGCGCGCATGTGTAAGGTTTTAACGTTGCTGTTATTTATTTACAGACTTCAGATAAGTTTTTATGTATTTTTCTTTCTTTTGGAGCTTCCTAAAAATTGATTAGCATCTGCACTGAAATACAATTTAACAGCAAAGGCAAAAAAGGATTGGAAGTTGTAAATTCTTAAAATCACTACAGTGACGATTATCCTAGTATTTGTTGCTTATGTAGCTGAGACCAAATAATTAGATTTCAGATACAACCTTGAGCACAGTTGACTGGACAGCTGCTGTTTGTAAGCAAAGGGCTCCAGGTGGCAAAGGTGCCGCCTTCTTCAGACAAGGCAAGAAGGTATAGCACCTTCCACAGGGGAATGGGGACGGATTATAAATGGGCAAAGGGATTAACAAATTATGTATTTATTTGTTTTCATAGTTAAGTAGCTGAAGCTCAGAGGCTTTCAGCAACAGAGTTGAACGTGTGGTTTTTAGTTTTGTGAATGGATGATCACAAAGAAAAAGCATTTTTTAAAAAGTTGGCAACCGCTGAAACGCACTGTGGTATGAAGCGCATTGCAGATCCATAGCACTGAAGTATCAGTTTCCGTTCCTGGGCTGAGATTTTTTCCCCGTGGTTGTATTGTTCTGATTTTACGTACACCAGTAACTGATTTTTTGTTTTCTTGTGGAGTTAACACCAAATAAAAATTTTAAAAACAGTTTGTTGTTTTTATTTATCATTGTAAAAGTTTTTTATGAGGACCCCCCCTTCTTAATTATAAGCATAAGTGGAAGATAGAAAGTGCCCAGGTCACATTGTTCCGGATGGAGATCGTGAAGCTCTTCCTACTGGCAGTGCTGACAGTGCTGCTGTGTGCCTTGCTGAAGAGAGAGTGAGTGGGGCCTCCACACACACACTGGAGCTGCTCCCTCTGTCTTGGAAAAGAAAACACAGCATTTTTGACCCTAAATAGTAGACAAAGCTCATTCTTTTTGTTTCCTTCTGGGAAAAAATACTTTGTTACCTTGATCGGTGTAATCCTAGCACTCTGGAAGGCCAGAGGGTGGATTGCCTAAGCTCACGAGTTCAAGACCACCCTGAGCAAGAGTGAGACCCTGTCTCTAAAAAGTAGCTGGGCATTGTGGGAGGCGCCTGTAGTCCCAGCTACTTGGGAGACTGAGGCAAGAGAATTACTGGATCCCGAGTTTGAGGTTGCTGTGAGCTGTGATGCCACAACACTCTACCCAGGACAACAAAGTAAGAATTTCGTCTCAAAAAACGGAGAAAGTGGCTCTGCGCCTGTGGCTCAAGTGGCTAAGGCGCCAGCCACATACTCCTAAGGTGGTGGGTTCGAATCCAGCCTGGACCCGCCAAACAACAGTGA